ACTAGCACGAAACTCAGGTGAAGCAAAGTTTCCTCTAGCCAATTATCTCCAACTATTTAATAATGTTACATTTCTTTAAAACTTCTAACTTTTTACCCAGTAAATTAAAGATTGACGATGAATTTATCATTCTTGCTGAGTTCACACCTACGAATTCATGTTTCTCTCTCTCTAACTCTTTGTCAACTAAAAATACCTTTGTTTGAATATGCTAATTAGGAATTTATTAAAACAACCACAAGAGATACACACAAAAAACTCTATTCCAAAGAATAGAACTATTGAATGTATAATCAAGTAGTTGTAAAAAAAAATTAATAAGATTAACAATCTACTTCCTCATCGCATTAATCAGTAGTATGCATATAGCGACCATAAGATTGTCATTTATGCTAACAACAAGTAGAACATCTATTGTGATTAGAATAAGCATTTTTTAGATTTTACAAAGAAAATTGTGGCGATTGTTTAATACAGGTTGTGTAATTTATAAACGAGAAATTTGATACTACCTCCTTTTTCCATATACTAGAATACCTTTCTGCTCGTTAGAATCTAACATGGAGTTAAATAGTATTGAAGAGATTTAATTTGATTGATAGTGTCTCACAGTGGAATCCAAGAAGCGCATGTCGTCCCCATTTGTGACTCGTCATATGAATGTACTGTAGTGTAGGGACTCAAGCCATTTGAAATTGTTCCTATGACCTTACTATGTATTGTAACTATTTGAATTCAATATTTCTAATGTTATATGTTCCTTAATCTTCACAAATGCCTTTCGGTTTGAGGTTGTGAGTATTAACAGAATAAAGCAATTAGGTATATATTGAGAAATCTGAATAAAGAACTCATAGGATTTGCGAGTACGTCATTGGAGTCATATCAAGTTAGCATTAGTACGTCGGTGGCACAGCGGTTAGGACTCTCAACGACCATGTACATGGTCCGAGGTTCAATCTGCCGCCGACGCACACCTGATATCTATGGTCGGCCTGCTAAACTTGGGCTACCGATATCACATGCTGAAAATTCTATACTTTTACCAAAATAGTGTGTGGAATCAAGGTATAAATATAAAAAAATTACAATAATTAGTAACTCCATCTCAAGTGAGTGCTGAGATTGTGTCTCAGTAGGAATGCTGTTAGGCCCTTAGCTTGTAGGTGTAACTAGATGACGAGTTCCAAATAGGGCGAAACGTACATCCTGCCTTTCACTTCTAGCCACCAGAAATCAAAATCACATCGGTGAAGCTTCCATTCTAGAAACCGACATATGAACAGAGACCGAGGAGTGGCTTTAGTGCATATCTCCGCTAACTGTAGAGTCGAAGTTCCTTACTATCATAAATGATATTCCTAAGATTCTAGAAGATTTGGATTTCGCCGATGACATATGTCTGATGACACAAATACTCGAAGACTTACAGGCAAAAACCAACAAACTGTTTAAAGAAGCAACCAGTGGAGACAACGCGACAGGTGAACATAGAGAAGACGGAGGTGATGAAGATAAACAACCAACCAACAGCAACCACCATCAACGGGACAGCTTGGACAGAGGTTACTTCCTTCACTTATCTGACAAGGTAGCATCGTTTTAACCTCTGGCGAAGGAACGGATAAAGATGTCAAAGCCAGGCAGATTGTGAAGGGCAAGGCACACCTTCATCAATCTAAAATCGGTTTGGAAATCTTCTGTACTCAGTCAGCATAAACAACAAGATTCGGATTTCCAACACAAATGTTGAGTCAATCAGTTCTTATATATGAGTCAGGAACTTGACGAATGCGTCACGAGAAGCGTATTCAACAGGCTACTTCAGACTTTTATCAACAGCTCCTACATTCGATGACACCATATTGAAGATCGAACTGTCGGCTGGCCAGCAACAGTAAACTTTAGCTGGAAGCAAACAAACCAATAGTTAATCGCTCAACAAATATACAGAAGAAGATGGAGATGGATCAGGCACATACTGAGGAGTCCGTCGAATGAAATCGTGCTCAGTACAGACCATCTCACGGTTGGGATCTCAATGGGAATCGACGAGTGGGTCTTCGGTGCCAGGGTGAAATGGAGGAGATAGTGCGAAGAGGAGATGAGAGATTATGGTCAATCATGGGCCTAGCTGGAGTGGAGAGCAGAAAATAGAACAAAGCGAAGATGTGTTGTTAAAGCCACATTTTCTGCTTGGAACCGAACGGAACAATAATAATAGTAATAATAGTTCGGTTCTATGGTGGCTCAATGGTAAGTTTTATTTTTCATATATTTTTTAAGTGAAATTTCGCATTAGGAAAATTTTTTCTGGGGTACATATCGTCGATAGCATTATACTCTTGAACTGTATTACACATCTGGTACACATATCTGTACAATGATGTAATGGATTATAGGAGGCAGTAGGTTAAAACATCCAAATACTCACTGGATAAAGCAGGTGGCGCCACTTCAAAAATGGGACATAACATATTATCGCTGGAGACAAAATATTTCAGTCCAAACTAATTTTAAAAAATATTTAGGAGCTTGTTTAAAATAGTCATCATTTGACCTACTAATTTAATTCCTAATTATCTAATCAATCTAATGAATGACATTAGAATTAAAATTTTGGGGAAAATTGAAAAACTTTGTTTCTCGATATCGATTTCATCCAGCTGTTAATTACAATGATAATGATGAGTCAGTGATTTATGGGCGTTTTTTTTTCTGTAAATTTTCTAATAAATAGTTAACATTTTTCATTCCTATTGTATTCAAATCGTCCAGTTATATATTTTATTGGACATAAAGAAACAGCTAATTAAACAGAAGTGAACATATGACATTATATTTAATAAAAAGAGCTACTGTCAATGTTAGTGAACATTGAATCATTTGTTTACTCGAATGCGTATCCATTTGGCGGGAGACAAGAAGGCTATCGTTGCTTAGCTAATCGTATACTAGTTGGCAGAAGATTAGAGAAATATTTTTCTGATTTCTGATAATAGCTTGATACCACACCGTATTATTGGTAAAAGAATGGAATTTTCAGCATGTGATATCGGTAGCCCAAATTCCACAGGCCAACCAACTGATATCAGGTGTGCGGCGGCTGATGTTCGAATCCCAGACCATGTGCATGGTCGGCGAGAATCCTAACCACTCTACGTTACAGTGACGTTTATTTACAGAATTTGTACTTGGTAATAGTTGTAGTTCTGTTTTGTTGTCACTGGGAAAATAAACAGTCGTATTGCCCTACTGTTGTTCCACATCGGTTACCGTGTATGGTATTCCTCGTCGGAGTCTTAATCTTTTGAAAACAGTGATAGGTTCAGGATCTTTACAATCTGGATATCTCATAGCTACAGTGATTAGTTTTAGAAGATATTACGCAGTAACACAGTTCTGTTTACTGGGTGGCTATAAAACCTTCGTAATTAAACCATGCAGCGTACAAGCCACGACACCACCACCAAAGGTAAAGGTTATGTCAAAATTATAATTCAAACATCTCCAAGTGTTTCGACTTCTTTTTAAAGGAGCAGTGATTTCAAAAAATTCTACAATTTTCAAACTGCACAGTTCGAAATGAAATTTCTGCTACTAGACATAATGAAGATTTGCAGCTCAGGTAGCAAAAGACATCTACCCTCAGGCCAACCAACCAACTCAAAAGCCTCCAAGGAAAACACAAAGTAAAATGGCCCTACAACATATAAAGAATGTTTCAGAAATCCTTGCAAGGCTTGATTTCGCACACGGACCAGTACTATCACTTCCTGCAGCTCTATGTTAGCCAAATGAATCAACAGTGAACAAAAGATAAAACCAACATCATCTACAAAGTCAGTTGCAACGACTGTGAAAAACACTGTATTGGCAAAGTAGACACCTGCCTTGTCCCCGCATTCATGAACATAAACTAGCCGTCAAAATGACATGATATCCGTTCGCTTATATCATTGCGGCGTTCAATTCTGATTGGGAGAACGTTCAAATATTGGACAGTGGAAACACCAAAAACGTTGGAGAATTTTCAGAAGCCTGGTATTCAAGTGAATGGACAACTAACAGATACATGGATATAAGCAAGATTCACCAATCCATAAGAAGGACATCTCATACACAAAAAGTAAAACTTCAGGTCAAGGAAACAAGTGTGTATGAAAACACACAGAAACATCCAATCACTTTAAGGTTACAAGGAGAGATAACTGATAAACTGGTGGAGAAATTTAAATAAGTGACTTCAAATTGAAGTATGCGCTGAAGATGTTGCCTAGTAAGGCAATGAAAGCCTCGCGAATAAACCATCCAGCACAGAGAAGACGACTACATTAAAAATTTCACTACTGTTCCCTTTAGAAATTCAACATATTCAAATGACAATATGTGATATGTTTGATGCCATAAATGACGTACCTGTAAGATGAAACATACTACTGATTCATATCAGTAGTTGGAAATTTCACTTAAACCGGTAGTGTTGATTCGGTTTTCTAAGCTCAATCAAATTAGATACAAGAGGTGGCTCTCGTGGCCCACATTGTCTAGTGGATAACGCTTTGGCGTTTGCAAATATGGGCACTTGGTTCAAGCCTTGGTGGGAACATCCTCACTCACTGCAGAATGCAGGTGCATCCAGCTGACGAGTCCCAAATAGGAAGAAATGTGCATCATAAAGTCGGCTCACGACCGTGAGAATGTATTGGTCTTATCGGTTGAAAATATCTATCCTGATTGGTTGGTAGTCAGATAAAGATCAAGGTGAGACAAAAGACGATGAATTGATCTCACACACTAAATCACAATATGCGTGAGAAATGAAACAATCACATAGTGACTCCATCACATGATAAATCACACAATTCGTAAGAAAGGATGATATACTATTTTATGCTGGGTCCTATCAGTCCAACGCTTCATTTACTTTAATCTAATCTTCATCTACTCATATAAAAAAATCAATAGTATAAAATTGAATAATTTCAGATATTACTCACCTCAATTTCACTATCTAATCCCATAGATGGTATAGATTTTTGTGATGAATATTTCGGTGGATGATAAGTCAATGAATAATGATGCCAGTTAGAATCGCATACTTCATCGACATCAAAACGCCATTGTGATGGAAGTAACTGTGTTGAATCCGATATTGATGAATTACTTGGTTCACGTCGTATTAGGACAACAAGTTTACAATTTTGCAAAAATATAGCAAAATGATGTCGATTCTTTTCTGTAAGATGAGTGAATGCAAAAACAAACAAAAAAGGCAAGCAAGAAATATAAAGCAAATAGTTCCCTTTTATGAATTTCTACAAAACAATAAGAAGAGATCTAGTTTATCTGGAACGAGTAATGTATCGGCGCAACATATTTGGGGCATTCTGATCACACCCACGTACATACCACGTCATATACATTTACATAGAAGGCAAGAGAGCAATGCAGGTCAAGGTCACATATAGCGGGTAAGAAAATGATGTGCAATTGATTCCGCAAATAGATGTCGAACATCATCTATAGCAAAGCATATCATAGAGACGTGTCACAAGGTTGATTTTCAATAATGCCTTTAAACACATATACAAAACAAGTTTGGGTCACATATTTAAATTCGTTGAATGAATGAAAAATGGATGAAAAAACTTCGGCCGGAACAGGCTGGATTCAGGAGAAACAAGTCATGCATCGATCGAGTCATAAAACTACGCATCATCATTGAACACACCTTGGAATAGCAACCACCTCCCTACCTCGAATTCACTGACTTTGAAAAGGCCATCGACAGCGTCGATCGAGAGGTGATTCGTCAACAGCTTCGCTACTACTAAGGGATGCCATCAACAACCACACGTCTCATCCAACACTTGTACGACAACGCTGCATGCCAAGTAATCCACAATGGGGTACTCACGGAATCCTTCGAAGTGAAGACGGAAGTAAAACAAGGCTGACTGGCTCCCTACTATCGCCAATGATTTTCCTGATTGCGGTAGAATGAATGACTTGACAGACAGAGAGTGGTCAACGAGTAGACAGGCATAAAGCTGACCTATACAAAAAACTTGGAGGATCTGAAATTTGCCGATTATATGTGTTTAATTTCCCACAAACTGGAAGATATGCGAGTGAAAAGCAACAAATTGGCAGAAGAAGCATCCAGAGAAGATCGCACTTCATGTGAACATAGAGAAAACAGAGGTGATGAGAATTCCTGGCCAAGAGCAGCAGTAACAACAATCAGCGTCCTTTATCTACCGACCTGAGAAGCATCGTTTCAACTGCAGGCAGACGGAACTGATGAGGATATCAAAGCAGCGAGGATCGCCAAGACAAGGCAATTTCTCATTACTCTCAAGTCTGTGTGGTGGTCAACAGCACTCAACATGACAAATAAGATCCAGATAATCAACTCCAATTTGACGTCAGCGCTGCTCACTATACGGATCAGAGACTTGGCGCCGTGTTACGAAGGGCACTTCAAACAAACTACACACCTTCATCAACAGCTGTCTTCGCTTAATACTACTCAAGATCAGATGGCCGTAAAAGATCAACAACATGGATCCCTGTGATCGAACGAATCAGGAAGCAATTGTGCAACAAATATGCAGGAAGAAATTGAGGTGCATTGGCCATACTCTGAGAAAACAAACCATCAAGTGGTTGACATCACACGGCAGGCCATCACTCGGGTGGAACCCGAATGGGAAGCGGCGAGTTGGTCGTCAGCGCAAGAGTGTCATGGAGGAGGTGATGTGAAGAGGAGATGAAAGCATGTGGGCAGACGTGGAGCCAGGTGAAAATGTTGGTAGGGAACCGAACGCAATGGAGACGTGCGTCTGAAGTCCTATGTTTCTCTAGGAATTAAAGGAAGCAATAATAGTAATGTGGGCGTCGGTGGCACAGCGGTTAGGACACTCGCCGACCATGCACATGGTCCGGGGTTCGATCCCCGGCCAACGGACTCCTTTACCTCGCTTAGCCAGTAATAAAGGTGGTAAAGAGGAAAGGTTGGGCACGAGGCTAGCATACCTTTCCTGAAACTTCAAGCCTCTAGTTTGAAGCCCTATAATCCACTGAGAATGTAAAGGAATAAAAATGTTTAAAAAAAATTCGTCAAAATATTATAAATCCAGATAAACCTGAAACCGCTGAAACAGTTTTTTTTGTTCACAATCTTCATAGATGAAACAATCATGAAACTTACCATATTCATCAGAACTGCATAAAATATTCTCACGTCCATTTGACGATGCAAAGCTTTCATCATATTGTTGATTCAGTGTAATTGGTGAATGTTTCATCCAAAAGTTTATTGTAAATTTGTTATTATCAAATCTTTGCAGTGAATGAAATATACCAAAATGATTTAAATCCAATTGAGTTGAACCATTGAAATAGTAAATACCTGATGGATAATCATGCTCACTAATTTTAGGAAAAGCTTCTAAACTTTTTATCTTTTCAACAATTGGTAAATTCATATTGTCAATATTGTTTAAATGAGGCTGGGTTTGTTGATATTCATGCTGTCGACGTAGTTTACTGATATCTGGTAATAAGTCTATGATTGTATTTTGAGCAGAGTTGACTACAAATCAGAGAAAAAAAAGGAAAATCAAAAACACCAATAAACGAATTATTATTATTATTAGTGTAATGGACAAATTGTTTGGAAAATCCCTTCCTCTTGGACGATCTATTTATAATATTTATACTTATATTCAGACATTTCAGACATTAACTTTGTAATTATTATACGTTTTTCCCTCCCCTGGATTAACTGTGTATCATTAGATATGATGGCGTAGATTTGTAGCTCAGGTGGATGATTTTGATGTGGTTATGTTCCCTGAAACCTCGCCTAGATTACTAGGTCACTAGTATTCTAGCCGGTCCCAAGCCCGGATAAAGAGGGAGGGTTGGGGCGTGGTGCTAGCAACTCCACCCCCAAAACTTAACCAAATTGCTACTAAAACTTCAACGCACAAATATATTCAAAATACTAAAATTACAAATAGTGACCTTATTTTTCGCTGGAATCGGGGAAGTGAAATGACGCGGGCTGGTGAAAGCCTTCGCGAAGCCAGTCAGCCGATGTGCCTTCTTTCGATGAAAGCGAAAATAAGGATGGGGACGTGGAATGTTCGTACAATGTACGAAGCTGGGAAGGCTGCTCAGGTAGCCGCAGAAATGAGGAGATATAAAATAGAAGTGTTGGGAATCTGCGAGAGCAGATGGAACGGATGTGGAAGGAGCCAACTATCAACTGGAGAGACAATAATCTACTCCGGTCACCCAGAGGACAATCACGAGCACACCGAGGGAGTAGCCATCATGATGTCACCAACAGCGGCTAAAGCTCTCATGCAGTGGGAACCAATCTCCTCCAGGATAATGACAGCCAGGTTCAACTCAAAAGGAAAAAAGGTTACAATCATTCAGTGCTACGCGCCTACAAACGCCTCAGAACATGAGAAGAAGGAGGATTTCTACAGTCAACTACAAACAGTAATGGACAACGTCCCAAAGAGCGATATCAAGATCCTGATGGGCGACATGAATGCGAAACTGGGAGGAGACAATACAGGAAGAGAACTCACCATGGGTCGTGAGGCCCTCGGTGAAATGAACGAAAATGGTGAACTCTTCTCAGACTTCTGCGCCTTCAATGATTTGGTGATTGGTGGCAGTGTGTTCAAACACAGGGATATACACAAGGCAACATGGATTTCACCAGATGGACACACCAAAAACCAGATAGACTTCATTTCAATCTCAAGGAAGTGGAGACGGAGTCTACTGGACACAAGATCGAGGAGAGGAGAAGATGTGGGTTCAGACCACTATCTAGTACAAGGGACTTTCAAGGTGAAGCTGAAAGCCTCGAGGATAGCTGGGGATAGGCCATAATGCAAGTTCAACACTCACAAACTGAAGGACACAATCACACAGGACATTTTCACTGCAACTGTCAGAGCAAAGCAGGAAACACTACGTGGCACCACTGAGGAATCATCCGTGGAAGACCATTGGAACTCTCTGAAGGTGATTTTCAACGAAACGTGTTCAACGGTTTTAGGAAGAAAGAAGAAACAAGACAAGGAATGGCTCTCAACGGACACTTGGAAACTAATAGAGGAGAGGAGAAAGGTGAAAGAAAAAATGATTCAATGCAAAGATGGACAAGAGAAAGAGACGCTGAACTCAACTTACACAGCACTGGACAAAGAAGTGAAGAAGAGTGCCAGGAAGGACAAAAGACAATTCTACGACAACCTGGCTACTGAAGCTGAGAAGGCAGCAGGCAAAAGGGACCTGAGGACACTATATCAGATAACCAAGTCTCTATCCGGGAAGAGATCAACACAAGTGAAACCTATAAAAGACAGCCAAGGGAACCCAATTACCAAAGAAGAAAGACAGATTAAACAATGGGCGGACCACTTCAAAGGACTCTTGAATCGACCACCACCTACAACCCGTCCAGTAATACCAACAACAGCACGTACACAACTGCAAGTTGACACCAATCCTCCAACGAAAGCTGAAGTCATGAATGCAATCAAGCTTCTGAAAGCTGGAAAAGCAGCTGGACCCGATGGAATACCCCCGGAAGCACTGAAAGCGGACCCAGAAACGACGGCAGATATGCTGACTCCATTATTGCAAAAGATCTGGAAAGAGGGAAAAGTGCCTACTGACTGGAGGAAAGGTTACCTGGTGAAACTACCAAAGAAGGGCGACCTGGGACTCTGCAAGAACTGGCGAGGAATCATGCTCCTGTCGACACCAAGTAAAATCCTGAGTCGCATCATCCTGGAGAGAATCAAGGACGCGCTGGATACAGAACTCCGACCAGAACAAGCTGGATTCAGGAAAGGCAAATCATGTTCTGACCAAATTGCAACTCTACGCATTATCATCGAACAAAGCATGGAATGGCAATCAAACCTCTACCTCAACTTCATAGACTTTGAGAAGGCCTTCAACAGCGTTGACCGCGAAGTAATTTGGAAACTACTCGAGTACTACGGCGTACCCCAAATATTCATCAACCTTATTCAACAACTGTACGACAACGGCACATGTCAAGTGATCCACAACGGAAAACTCAGCGAAGCGTTTGGAGTAAACACAGGAGTCAGACAAGGGTGCTTATTATCACCAATGATATTCCTAATTGTAGTGGACTGGATTATGCGTCAGACAGTGGGAAACGAGAAGACAGGGATATCCTGGACCGACGCGAAGAACCTAGAAGACCTGGATTTTGCGGATGATTTATGTTTGATGTCACACAAAATCGAAGACTTACAAGCAAAAACCGACAAACTGGTCGAAGAAGCAGCAAAGACAGGACTGCAGGTGAACATAGACAAGACGGAGGTCATGAAAATAACCAACCAACAACAGCAGCAACATCCAGTGCCAATCACCATCAACGGGAGGGATTTGAAAGAGGTTACTTCTTTCACTTATCTGGGGAGCATTGTCTCAACCACAGGAGGAACGGACGAGGATGTCAAATCGAGAATCGGGAAGGCGAGAAACACATTCATCAACCTGAAACCAATCTGGAAATCTTCGTCACTCACCATCAACAACAAAATTCGGATTTTCAACACAAACGTGAAGTCAATTTTGCTTTACGGATCAGAAACTTGGCGAGTCACCAAGAATATTTTCAACAGGTTGCAGACCTTTATCAACAACTGTCTTCGCTCCATACTGAAGATTAGATGGCCAGAAAGAATCACAAACAAGAAGCTATGGGAACAAACGAAACAGGAACCAATCGCCCAACAAATATGCAGGAGGAAGTGGAGATGGATTGGACACTCGCTGAGGAGGCCGTTGAGTGACATCGCGCGTCAAGCCCTCGAGTGGAACCCGAAAGGGAAGCGGCGAGTGGGACGTCCAAGGGTGACATGGAGGAGATCGTGTGAGGAGGAGATGAAACAGTATGGAATAACATGGACGCAAGTGAAAAGTACAGCACAAGACAGAAGCAAGTGGAGACGTGCAGTTGAAGCCCTATGTTCCACTAGGAACCCAAGGGAACAATAATAATAATAATAATAATAATATGTTCTCTGAGCTGGATGGTTTATTTGCGAAGCTTTCATTGCACCCTACTAGACAACCTCTTCAGTGCATACTTCAATTTGAAGTGAGCTTTTAAATTGCTCCACGAGTTTATTAGTCATCTCTGCTGGCGAGTGATCTTGAACGTGATTGGTTGTTTTTGTGTGTTTCCACATCTTCTAGGCTACTTGTTTTGGAACTGATTGCTTCTCTGACTTGAATTGTGACCCTTTGTGTGTGAGATTTCCTTCTTATCGTCTGTAGAATTTTGTCTATCTTGATGTGTCTATTGAGTGACGATTCACTTGAGTACCAGGCAGCCTTCTAAAGATTCTCTAGCATTCTTGGTGTTTCCTTTGTCTAATATTTGAATATTGTCCCAGTCGAATCGATGTCCGTGGTTGTCTATGCAGCGATATGAGCGAGGGAGTGGATATCATGTCTTTTGACGGCTAGCTTATGTTCATGGATACGAAGACGAAGAGGACGTCCACTTTGGCCAGTGTAGTGTTTTCGCAGCTGTTACAATTTATTTTGTAGATGATGTTGGTTCTATCTTCTTTCGTTGTTGACTTTTTTGGTTGACATGGAGCCAGCTGAGTGAAGTGATTTTGTTCGTTTGTGTGTGACATCAATTCCTAAAGGTTTGAAGAGTCTTGTAGTGATTTCTGAGATCTCTTTTATATATAGTAGGGTGACTTTCTTTGTGCTTTCCTTGGGGGCTTTTGGTTTGATAGGTTGGCTTCAGGGTATATGTCTTTTGATGAAATTCCGTGGATATCCATTCTTTTGGAAGACGTCTGTGAGATATCTTCCTTCAACTTTCCTTAAGGTGGGAGTGCTGTAATGAGTCCTGCCACTCTTTGAATACTGTTCGTATACAACTCCTTTTGTGTGTTATTGGAATGTTGCTGTTGTAATTCAGTATTTGGTTCGTGTGAGTTGATTTCCTATAAACTTGAGTTTCTAATTCCCTTGTGGTTGTCCGCTTGACTAAGACGTCCAAAAATGGGATTTTATTCTCAGATTCCTCTTCCCTTGTGAATTTGATGTCGTTGAAAACGTTGTTTATTAAGTTGTGAGTTTTATCCAGCTCGTTTGTTTTGATTACTACGAATGTCATCTACGTAACGTATCCAAATTTTGGGTTTGATCTTTGGTAGGATTATGTTTTCGAGCCTTCGCATCACTCTTTTTGAAATCAAACCTGATATTGGTGATCCCATGGGTGTTCCCTTAACTTGTTCATAAATTTGTCCGTTGAACTGACACGTTGATTTTGACATTTACTATTTGCTTTTATCGTTGCACATTGACAATGTGTTGTTTAACGATACGAGCTTGTTTGAGTTAATGTAGGTCACTCTGAGTCAGGACTGTCTTCGGGAAGCGTTGGTATGTGATTCTTATAGACAGAACTTTTTATCCCACCTCGTTGCGAATATTCTCCGTGATTCTAAGGTACATTCTACAGTTGAAATACGTTAACTAATTTTGTGTGAC